CCCCTCCCCCGCACGGCCCGGTGTCCTCCGAGGCGTCCTGCCCTCGGCGGCGGCGAGGGCCGGGCCGCGCCGCGCCCCCGCTGAGCCGCCTCTCCGCTTCCCTCCAGGCCTCGGCGGAGGGAAGCGGCAGGGCTGAGCGCCGCGGGCCCCGGGCCTGAGCTGGCGCCGCCGCGGGGGATGCCCTGGGCGAGGGCTCGCGCCGCCGCGCCGCCGACATGCTCCACACCGGTAACTACAGCCTGGTGCTGTTCGTGCAGTTCCTGCTGCTTTTCTACGACCTGTTTGTCAACTCCTTCTCCGAGCTGCTCCGCACAGCGCCTGCGGTCCAGCTCGTCCTCTTCATGTGAGCGCCGGGCGCACCCAGCACCGGGCCAGGCGTCAGGGCTCCCTCATGGGGTCCCCCGTGTACCCCGGGGGTGCTTATGCCATCTCTCGCCTCCCGCAGCATCCAGGACATTGCCGTTCTCTTCAACGTCATCATCATCTTCCTCATGTTCTTCAACACCTTCGTCTTCCAGGCCGGTCTGGTCAACCTCCTCTTTCACAAGTTCAAGGGCACCATCGTGCTGTCAGCGGCCTACCTGGTGCTCAGCATCACCTTCCACGTGTGGATCATGGTAGGTGCGATGGGGACCGCCAGCGTCCCCCGGGACGTGGCAGCGGCCCCCCGACGGCCCCAGCCCCGCGTGCCGGGCAGCAGGGCAGGGCCCCATCACGTCTCCCACCGGGCGCTTTGGGAGCTGCCGCCCGCTCGGGGCCTGTCCCGCCGCAAGGGAGCGGCCGCATCCCAGCCCCCTCGCCGCGGGCCTGCGCAATCCTCGTTCCCCGCGGAGAGCCCCCGTGGCTCCGGCTGCGCCGCCGGCACACGCTGCCCCGGCTAATCCCCGGCCCTGAAAGCCGCGCCGGGGATTACGTGGGATTAATCCCCCCAGCAAACGCCGGCGCTGGGAGGCTGGCGGGCAGCGCGGCCAGGCTGCTCCGCTCTGCCTCGTTCCCCCCGCTGCCGGGGAGCAGCCCCCAGGGCCCCGCTGCGGCGCTGCCGGGCACGGGGCGCTGCTCCGTGGGGCCGGCCCCACAGCGGGAGCGCTCCGGGGCCCGCCCGCGCGCCGCGGATTCGCGGGGATTTGCAGGGATCCGGCGGCGGAAGCCAGAACAGGCGCTGGCTCACCCGCCAAATCCCCTGAAGCTGCTTAACCTCCGGGCTCGGGGCTGCTCCCGGGGCCCCGGCGGGGACAGCGCCGTGCTGGGGGGCGCGGGGCCCCTCYGCCAGCTCCCGCCTGCGCTGACGTGTCCGCCCGGCGCAGAACCTGCGCTGGAGAGACCCCGGCGGCTTCGTGTGGAGCGAGGGCCTGCAGGCGCTGTTCGTGTTCCAGCGCCTGGGTGAGGCCCCGCGCGTGCCGGGGGCCGCGGGAGCCGGCGGAACGCGGCTCCGGCGCCGCCCTCACGTCCCCGCCGGCCTCGCGCAGCCGCCGTGCTCTACTGCTACTTCTACAAGAGGACCGCGGTGCACCTGGGCGACCCGCTCTTCTACCAGGACTCGCCGTGGCTGCGCAAGGAGTTCGCGCAGCTCCGCGGCTGACGGCGCCGCTCCGCCCGGCCCCGCTCCCTGCTGCTCCCGGCACGGGGCCCGGCTGCTGCCGTGGCGCGGGGGGATGCGGGTCCAGCCCGGCCACGTTCCCCTCGCCCGGAACCCAGCCCCAGCGTCGCGCGCAGCGGGAGGCCTCTACCCTGCCGCTCTCCCGCCTCCGGCTTGGGAGGTTTTGTAAATTCCAGAGAAATAAAGGGGCTGTTTTCCAGAGGCTCTTTGGGGTGTGGGTGCCGCTCGCTGGTGCTTTCTCCTCCCGCAGGCTGCCAGCCCGGGGGTGACTGTTCCCGAGGGCATGGAACCAGCCGCTGTTCCCAGCTGCCGCACTGGCCCGTGGGCGCTGTCCCACCAGCGGGTTGTGCCGGACRCGGCTCCCAGCGGGCCGCCCAGAGCCAGGCAGGACTGGGCTGTGTTGTCCCCTCGTGCGGAGCGGGAAGGGGGCTTGGAGGCGCGGGGACAAGTGGGATCTGGCGGGGGCTCAGACGGGATTGTCCCGTCCCGGTGTCCGGGGCTGCTCCGTCCCGCTGCCTGTCCCGTCCCGGTGTCCGGGGCTGCTCCGTCCCCGTGTCCGGGCCCGGGGCGGCTGAGACGGGTCCGTCCCGTCCCATCCC